CACCGAAAAGCATCATGCATTTCAAAGTTTGATTTACAAATACTCAACACAATAGGTTTAAAATGTCTCGTGAGTCTTGAAGGAATACAAAAATTTATCTCACTCAGTAAAAAGGGACTACTGACCATCCCGTTCATTAATTTAATTAAAAAAAGAACACCAAGCATCTCTCTACGACTCTGAAGCGTCGGCAAATCTATAAGCTTCAGGCGATCCTTGTAGGGTCGGAGATTTTTAGACGAGTCCCAACATAAATTTTTGAGGGCAAATAACAGGAACTGTTTCTGCACTGATTTGAGCCTGTCTCTATGAATTTGATAACTAGGATTCCATACTATAGATGCATACTCCAAAATCGGTCTAACTAGAGAGGTAAAGAGAACTTTAGTGACATAAGGATCGTTGAGCTCCTTGGCCCAGCGCTTAAGAAAAGCCAACAATCCTCTAGCCCTAATCACGCAGGAGTTTTATCTTTGCTTGGACCTGGTTTTAATGTGGTTTCAAAACCAACACTTAATTCTAATTCGGCTGCGTTTCATAGGCCGAAAGGCGGTTTAAAAATTCGCGGCTTTTCAAGTTTCACGAATTTTGAGCTACACATTCCTTATAAGATTTACGTAGTATGCCATTAAAAAAGTCCCTAAAAATATATGGCTTAATTTGCAAAAAAAAAATATCTGAGTTTGAGAAATTGTCTCGAGGTCCCCACATAAATCTGTATATCTTGTAACAGTACGTTATGTAAATTAAATAAAAATACCATTATTATAGCGGAAGGATCGCTTTTTCAAGTTAGTCTATTTTGAATGTTTCCAATTTCGAAAAAAATATAAAAAAATTACACTTTGCTATATATAAGTAACCAAATTTGGACAACAAAACAATTCGTCTCTCGTTTTTTGAAATATATGTATATGTGGTAATTACCACTACATTTCAATGCAAATTTTACTCCATTTCTTCTTTTGATGCTCATAGACATTTGTATCTAGTATGTATTTACAAATAGCATACGAAAACTATTTTTTGCCGGAACAATATGACCTTCACTTTTGTTATCTAATTTATGCATATATTTGTATTTTATTTTTAATTTACATATTAAACCCATTAAAATGTTATGAAAGTAGTAATAACCATAACCTATTTTTTTTTTTAATTTAAGCTCTTTTTCATTTTTGTTTTGCTCTTTTCCTTACTGCTGGCCCAACGGCCACCTACGCCGTACCTTTTCTGCCATTTTTTATATATTAATTACCTTTTAAAGAAATTACATAATTTTACCTGCACGCAATCATTTTGTTATGTCTCTGCAGTCAAAACCCGGCATTATCAGCATCAACAGTCTGCGCTAAACTCCGCAGTGACCTCAATCATTAGCTGAGTCAGACAATGACCTCTTTAGCCACTGGTGCACCATGTTTTGATTTTCTCTTTGTTTATTTTTCTCGAATACTATACATAGAAATGAATTTGGCCGGATTTCGATAACTATCCATTCCTTTGCTATTTCCAGCTATGGGTTTATACAGATAAATTACAAAATTTGTCAAAAAGGAAATTTACATTGCAATCTTGATACCATATTTAGAAATTTTATTGCTTCACTACTTCGGTTTAGTATTTGTCATATGAACTAATCAAAACGAAAAAAATAATAGTCCAAATATTTAATAGTGGCTTCATAAATATTATCATCTAACTCATATAACTGAGCTAGGACGTTTTCAACTACATACATATATTGCGTCAATTTTTTACTAAAAAATTTTCCTTATTATTTTTTCGTGCTCACACTTCACACTTTCTCTTTTCTCTTTCTCCTTCACAGTTTTGTGCCTTCGGTACGCTCTCCCTCCTCACACTTGTTGCCGGCAAGGCGCTCATCGACCAACAAGCCGCCGAATCGCAAGCGAGCAGCGTCACCGTCGCCCAGCAACGCATCGGCTGGGATCACGATGCTCACCACGAAGTACATGAAGTGCATGATCATCATCATGAGCACCATGAGCACCACCACGATCCGGGCTTTTGGAAGAAGAAAGTCACTTGGAAGGAAGGTTGGAAAAAGATTTGGAAACCAGCGAAAAAACAAATTTGGAATCCATCGTGGAAGCAAATTTGGAAGCCCATCTGGGTGCCGGTTAAGGTGCCCGCCTGGAAGGATATAAAAGTGCCGGCGTGGAAGCAAGTGTGGAAGCCAGTATGGAAGGAGATACAAGTACCCGCATGGAAAGAGATACAAGTACCGGATTGGAAGAAGATTTGGAAACCCATATGGGTGCCGACGAAGGTGCCAGCATGGAAGGATATACAAGTGCCGGCGTGGAAGCAAATTTGGGTGCCCGTCTGGAAAGAAATACAGGTGCCGGCATGGAAGGAGATACAAGTGCCCGACTGGAAGCAATACTGGACGCCTGAGTGGATCAAAGTGGGCATACCTGGTGAAAAGTATTTGGGTAAAGATCCCGAAGGCTGGGAATACACAAGTCACGATTTGTGGAAGAAGAAGCTGATATGGAAATCGCATTGGAAGAAAATTTGGAAGCCAGCGAAGAAGCAAATTTGGGTGCCCAGCAAGAAATTGGAATGGAAGGCAGATTGGAAGCAAATTTGGAAACCGGCGAAGAAACAAATCTGGGTGGACGACAAAAAATTGGAATGGAAGGAAGCGTGGAAACAAATCTGGAAGCCAGCCAAGAAGCTCGTTTGGATACCCGACAAGAAACTCGAATGGAAAGAGTCGTGGGTGCAAATTTGGAAGCCGGCGAAGAAACAAATCTGGGTTGAGGACAAAAAACTCGAATGGAAAGAAGCGTGGAAACAAATTTGGGTGCCAGGTTGGAAGGAAATTTGGGTGCCCGCTTGGAAGAAGATCTGGCGGCCGGTGATCATATCCGAGTGGTTCCCCACGCCCGATCATCATCACGAGCATCATCACGAACATGCGGAGCACGGCTGGGATCGCAAGGATGCGCAGGGAGAGGGCGCCAATAAGTTGGTGTGGAAACGCGACGAGAAAGCGACTCAGCTGAAACCAGTCGCCACAGCTGATTTTCGGACAGCAAAATCAGCTGAAGTGAAGGCATCCCCTGCAGTGGGTACACAGCCCGTAGCAGCAACAGCAGCGCATGGCCAAGGCTTCAAGTTTCCGGGCGCGTAGATGAGTGGAGAATTTCTTGAGCAACACAGCCATTTTGATATGTGAATTACCTGCAAGCACGCTTCCTCTCAAACACGCAAAGCAGCATTTATTTGCAGATATACATACATAAATATATGTTAGGCTTCGATGCAAGTACAGTCATGCATACTTTTTGAAAGCATCACACTCCGCCACTTCATTTACACGCGCATTGCTTTTTGTACTCGTAATTGTAAATATGTATTCCAGTCGTTAGTTTTTAAGTCACTGCACAAATCATAACGAATGTGTAAAATTTATTTAAATTCATTTAGTTTTAGTGCGCTACTCTACTACCACCCATTGGAGAGTTATTCTTCCAGTTTTCGCTGCTATCAAAATCGGCCTTCTTCACACATTTCGTATAATTTAAATTAAATTATTTATGCCACAACAACCATAAGAAGTAAATATAAATAAGTAATTTATATTTAAGTTGTTACAGTTAACTAATTATGTTTGATTAGTTTTAAGTTAGTGGCAACGTTGTTGTAAGATCCAATGAAAAAATAAAGTAAAGTTTTTTTTTTATACCAAAATCCATACTAAAATTTAAATGTGTTTCATTCTTAATATTAGGAGACTATTGGACTAGCATAGATAAAGTATTGCTACCTTCACTCACACTCACTACACCAGAGACCTCGGTTAGAACCAGAGTAGCCGTGACGCAAGAAACCAGCTTTGACGAGGCCGTCTTGTTCCATCCCTGACTTCGTGTGAAGGGCACAAAAGTGAAACCCGCCCTCTCCGGCCCAACTCCCTTCATAATTTAAGCTCTACCTGGACATCCGTCACCAAAGTGGCCATACTTTGGGCAAGTTATTTTAGGCTGGCTACGCAGTAGTCATTTGGGTGCATAGCGTTATCAGGAAATCTACGAATGATTTTGGCGAAGCGAACGGTTTGGCGGAGCGAATTAAAGGGCAGGGAAGGCATTAAAAGTGTTCGCGATGCAAAGAACTTCCACAAGCTGGTAAAAAAGAACACTCTTAATGCATATGTAAGTTGCGTCCGCCAATCCATTCGCTTCGTGATAATACCTGACTATAAGGGATTTGTTTAATAAATGACTATAAGGGATTGTAGTCGAAAGTTCAAGCCTTAATTTAAGCCTAAGTGGAAGGTTCTTTCACCTTTTGTTTCTTTGCTAGAGTTTTACAAATATTACAAAAACGCGATTTTTTGACACTTTGATCTCGTTTTTCTCAAAACCTGCAGCTGATGAAAGCTGTAAGTCTATCAAAAATAGCTTTAACTTTTTTCGAACCAAATTTTTTTTACATTTTTTTTTTTTGCCTGAGTAATCGTTAAATTCAGATTTTCATTTTATTTTTAAGTCCTATATAATCCAAAATAAAATAAATCTGAAAATAACGGTGTTGCGGTATGAACGAAGAAACAAATATCATTAAATAACGGTTCAATTTTATCGGACAATTTTTAATTCCATTTTAATGGTTAAATTATGATTTTTATTGTGAAGGATATAGCCGTTGCGATCTCTATTTTACATTAATCCAGAAAAGATTCACGATCAATTAGAAAATGTTAACATTTTTCCGAATTTTATTTTATTTTTAATTTCATACATATCCCATAGGAATCATTTTAAAAACACTAAACTAATTTCCATGAATAAATTATATATATAAATACTTAATTTTCGTACACATACATATGTATGTATATCCAAATAAATATCGAAAAGTTTAAACTCTTAAACCATCCTCTTTGGTTCGCATTTTCTCTGTTCCACATTCTTCTCTAACACTATTCAACAGCAACTTCACGCACATGCGTACGCTTGATGCCTTTCTTCCATCCACTGCTACCGCTGCTACTGCCGCTATAAATAGAGCCATGACTACTGCCACTGTTTGCTCCACCCCACTCGCTGTAGCTCTTAGCCGAACGCAGACCACTGCTGCTGCTACTCCCCGGTGAGCTGCCGCTACTACTACTCCAGTCGCTGCTGCTCGAACTGTCGATGACGCCATCCTTACGCGCCTCCCAACCTGGTGGCACTTTTGGCAATGGCACCCATTCATTTTGCACCAATGGACTCCATACTTTCTTCCAAACGGGCACATAGATCGCTTTCGATCGCCAATATTTCACCCAACGTGACTTCCATTTGACATTGCGTTTCCAGAAACCATCTGCGGAGGGATCAGCGCTGGCGGTGTGTTTTACGCTGTGGAGTGTGAATGATAAAAGAAAGAGAAAAAATATTAAAGAGATCAGTGATCACTGATCAGTTGTGGTATCTGGTAGGTGAATGCATATAAATAGTTATCTACTTTTAGGCGCTACATCAATTTGCTACTCACACCGTTGTTTGTGAAGAAGAAAGTGCAGTGCAAACTGTGCTGAGCAGTAATATAAAGCTGATGACGAATAGTGGGCATAGATGTGATGTTAGCTACGAAATATGAATGAAATACCTATTTTAGTAATTTATTTTAAAGTGTAAGTGCTAATTGCAGATGCAGTCATTTAAAGATTTTGTAAAAAGAAAAAAATTTGAGTCTTATAATAATAAGGTCAAGTAGTTAAATTAAAATTATTGTTGCAGAGTTTTAATAACATTCGTACTGTAATTGTTTGTGCGGGGACAGTTTGAATTTTTCATCAGGTAAATTTAAATGAAACACTGCTCCTGTCAACATATATCTTTTATTAGGTTACTGCCAAACTGACAGGTCATTGAAAGTAGACAAGCTCGTGAATTTCCACGAAAATGCAAGGGCATTTCTTACTTCATCCAACATCTGTTTCAAACCTCAAGAAATGGCATTACGTGACGAACTTAGCTTTCGTTTTGAGGTGAAGTTATAAAAATCAAATGCTCCCCAATGAAAAAACACATGGTATGAATATTGTCTTAAACCCTGCGCCTAAAACTATGATGCATAGCATCCTTGTTACCTTTTCGGTAGGTCGTGACAATGACAATGTGAGGTTAGAAAAATCCTGATGTGATGATGCAAAACGGACTTCAGATTCGGGCTCAGCGCATCAAAATACATGGAGGTAGTGTATTCCTACTTGTCCTGGTAATTTATTTATTTTATACGGGACGCCAAATGTTCTGTATTTCTTTTAATGTCCTGTATTTGTCCCGTATTCGATGTTTCGACACCTTAACAGACCATTAAAATGGCGTGCCTATGAACGAGTTTTAAGTAATGTTGGTATACGAAAGTAATTTTTTCCATAAACAGTTGTTATTTTCTAATCTGAATGGCTCTGATTCGAATCAAGGAATACATACAGTCACCAAAATAGAAATAAGGACTCGACATTTTAGTAAGCTTTGGCTATTTTTCCTTATTTTATTTAATGTTTATTTATTTTATGAAAGAAAAGCTCCTTTCCTAACAAAAACCATATAATATCAAATTTCCAACTTTGTGCAAAAAAATATAAAAGTGAATTCTGCAACGTTTCACCAAAATTTCAAATTTTTTAATTAGAATCTTCAGAAAAAATTTGGTTTGCAGTTTTGTAACTAAACTAACTAAAAATTGAATATAATAAAGCGTGAGTGGAAAGTGTTGCTCATTTGCTTCTCTTTCAAAAAAAAAGGTCGAACATACTTACTTTGTATGAAAAAAATGCGTAACACCGTCAACAAATCAATAAAATTGCCAAAAATTAATGGTAAACCTTACCGCCTTAAATTTAACGAATTTTTTTAACAAGTCTACAAATTTGTGATATTTCTAAACGGATACTATTTCAAGGCTAATACATCTAGGATCATTGAAGACGGCTTTAAGATCTGTAAGCTATTGTGGAAAAAATTTTAAAAATTATTTTTTGTCCCGTATTCGGCTCCCATTAATATGGTCACCGTAGGTATTCCTGGCAAAAGTACATGACTCCCTTTTTTTTGGCACACACACACAAAAAACGTGTCGGGATTCGGGGATCAGACTCTCCTTTCTACACTATTTTGATGCGCTGAACACGAAAGTCTGTTTTACTTTATAGCCGCCGGATTTTTTTCTAACCACAAAAACCGTGCCTGTCAAATAATATCCGCCATGTTTTTTTGAGGTTAGGAAAAAATCCTGACGAGATGGAGGAAAACGTCCGGGGGTATGGTATTCCTGTCAAAAGTAAATGGCCCTTTTTTGTGGGGTATATTTTTATTCTTGTTTACCTGAGAAAAATCATTATTATGGTTAAGGAATTCAAATTATCTGAATGAAAGGCGAATCTTATAATTTTCTTCAAAGACGATTTTAACAAAATTTACTAACATTAAAGACACGGAGTCAAATGCTGGATTGCCAATAGGCATTAAATGGCAAATATGACAAATGACAAAGTTGGGCATTAAAAGATTATCTTGTCGTTATGTGAAAAAATAGTCATTGAATCCATTTCCCAATGTTGGGCATTAAAAATATTAGTTTCATTGCGTTTAAAAAAAAATAGTCCTATGTCTGTTTCTAATGCCGAATTTCCACTAGGCATTAAAATTACAAAAAAATTGTACCATTTAAAAAATGTCATGTGGAAGTGAACTGAATCACTATTTTTTATCTTAAGGGCAAGAATATTTTTTAATTCTTTGTCATTACAATTTTTACCATTTAATGCCTAGTGGAAAACCGGCATAATTAAGAAATATTTTTAGATTTTCAAAACATTTTGAAAACTTTCGTGAGTTTGAGATATAAAAGGAAATTTCTTGGGACTTTTTTAGGGATTTGATGAATTATGAGAATTAATACCTTCGGCAAATAATGGGAAACCTCCGAGTGTGTTCCTACCTTGAAAATCCTTCTAATAAAAACCATCAGCCATTCGGAGGCGGCGTAAGAGTGCAGGTCCCTCTATTTGTAAAATATTGGGGAATATTCTTGTTTTCGTACGAATCGAAAATTTCGATTTTTTTCATCACTTTTCTATACATAAATTTCCAATTTTCGAATCCTACGAAACCAAGAATATGCCCTATTAACACTAATAAATTAAGGCAAATTTAAATTTTTTCTCACTTTGCATACATCTTTTTGTTGGAATATTTTTTGTAAGCATAACTTTCGACTCACTCACTTTTAGTTCCATTTTGAGAAGTTCCCTAACTAAAATATAATACTATTTTTCACTTTTACTTTGGATCCAAACATTGAGCACCACGTGGGATGGATCACTTCACACTTCAAAGTTTCATATTACTGTAAAACACCGGCGCTTTCATTCCGCCCATTAAATACTTCTTCCGATTGCTGGGGGCTGAATTCGTTCAAATTTAAAGATAGATTAAAATACGTATGTAAGTGCATACGTATGTACAATAAAAATTCGGTAATTTGCATTATTACGTACATAGCTTACTAGCAGCAGCACATCCCTGCATACGATTACTTGCCCGGCTACGCATGCGCACACGTTAGTTGTTTGCAAGACTGGTTTTTGCTATCGGTATTGCATTGGACGACAATCAATTAATATGTACTTCATGAGGGCGCCCGCTGAAATTATAAATTCTATTCAAGTCATAAGCGGGGCGACAAGCACAAGCAGCAACATGTGTTAGTGAAACAAACTGTGAAGCGGTACATAATCACGATAGACATACAAGGGACACATTTTCTGCATTTTACATCCGCAATTTTTACGACTCAAGCCCACTGTGCCGACTTCAACTTTTTTATTTTACTACCTCAATGGGTAAGTATTCGTAGCACAAATCCATAGCGCTGAATTTAATATTTACTGTGACGAATTTAAACAAAATCTTTTAAATTGCAATTCATGTGGCGTGCGGAATGTGCCGTTGTTTGAGTGTTTTTAAACAATTAAGTAAAGCAAATTGATTTTTGGGTTTTAATTTAACGCACAAATCTTATGTAATCGTAAGTAAAAGAAATAAAAACACAGCGTATTGTGGGGAGAAAAAGGGAATTTGAAAAAGTGTTGGCAATTTATGCATAGATAGACTAGCGTGGTATCCATCAAGTGGCTCCTAAAACACCTCTGCGAGATCGCTCTCGCATTCAGCAGTCGATATCGATTGGCAAATATCTACTACATACATATGTATGTATGTAACTTCTAGTCATTTGAATAGCTCACCCTTTTTAGCAGCTGTAAATCCGATTTTCAACTTTTATACAAATTAAAAAATTAATAGTCAACAAAGGGGTGACCAGCAGTCAATAAGTTAATACTTTTAAAAAAACTTCCGGTGTGCAGTTTTATAGTCCACCGAAATCGGCACACATTTAACGAAGCTATAGGCTGTGCAACATTTGTTGCTGCTGCAAACTCCGTGCAACAAAGTTGCTAGCAAAATGCAGCTGACACCATTCATCCAGCAACATTGCAGCAGAGATGGGTGAATCAACATTTTTCCACATTTATTTCTTTAATAAAATCGCCGATGTGATAAATTTAAAGAAATCAAATACTTCAGTGAAGCCAGAGTTAAATTAAAATCACAAATATTTAAGCAAAAGTGTCTGATCTCCGTTGCAGCTTCAGTGTATCACTTTCTTTAAAGCGCTTCAAAAGCGTTCAAATGAAAAGCAACATTATTTTTATTATTTGTAAATCGTTTTATTTATTTTATTTTATCGTTAAATATGAGTTTTATAATTTTTTTCAATGCAATTTTGTTCTTTTTACGCTTAACATTTCCACGTGAGTGCATGCATCATATATATTTAATAAGTATGTATGTATGAAGTATGTATGTATGTATGTATATAAATAAGTATCTTAAAAAACCTATTTTATTTCGCAACGCAATTAATTATTAAAACTGCCAACATACATACATATATCAAGAGTATAGCGTTGCGCTTACAAACAACAAAAAAGCCTATAACAAAAAAGTAACAATGCTAATGGCATGCGACTACACACAGCTTTCATCCTTTATAATGCATATACATAGTATGTAAACATGTATGTAGGTATGTATTTGCAATAAAAACGCATTAAATCGTAGTGAGTATGTATAAATATACGTTATGTAGATAGTTTATAATAATTTTAATAAATCATTCGATATATTTATGCATTTATGAGTGCTTATAGAAAGTATGTACGTAGATAATAGTGCGCATAAATTTTGATTTCAATTACTGATTACATTTATTGCATAGAGTATTTAAACAATGGTTACGATTTTCGTAATTTTTACCGAGTATACACGATTCATTAATTTATATAGGTCCTTTCAATGTATGCACGGCTGTTTGTGTGTTTATATGGAACTAGCGATTTACATGTAGGTATACATACACATACTACGAGTAGTTATGCATTGGAACAAATTGTTTAGGCTTCTTTGCACAGAATTTAAAGCTAAGGTTAAAGTATTTCTACTACACATTACAGCATTACGCACATATAAATTTATATATAAGTCTAACAATTATTTTTGTATAAAACTAATATGTATGTCTGTAACAACTATATATTTGCTATATGCATGTGTGGTATGTATGTACGTAGTACACGTTATATTGAACGCTTACAGAAATGTAATAAGAGTATTCGCAAAGCGCTAAGGCAAACTATGATAGATAAATCTTACTTAAGTCGTTGTTATAATTACTATAAAAAAAAATAAAAATATTCACTGTAAATCTAATTTTAATGCTAACTTATTCTCCAGTGAGTCATACCAAGCAATTGCTTAGTTATAAAAATTATATTTACTGGGCATTTTAACTGAACAAAACTGCTGCTGTAGATTTTTATAAATTATTAATTAAAATATAGCATAAAGAATAGTTTGTAAATGCTTAAATAAAAATTTTCAATACAAATTGTTTGCATGTTATTTAATTTTTCACAAGTTCCTTTATCAAAACTACAACAGCTTCAAATATAAGCACTCAACTGAGCCTTACCCAAAATGTATTTAATACGCCTTGGCCTTACCCTACTTAACACTTCGAACGCAAATTTATGACTACGGAAAACGTTAACACTAGAAAGACGGGCATATTTTCTGAATCTTATGAAGAGTTTAATAGCTGAGATATCCTTTATTGATAATATTTGAAAGAAAACTTTTTTACTTCCACTGTTATTTTTTTCGTTTCTCGAGGATTTATCTCTTTCCAAGAAATAAATAAAAATTGTATGTGCGGTCTGGTCTTGCGTCGGCAGACTTCCTTTTATTCTGCTCTCTTTACAACTCATTGCGTGGAATACCATTACTTTTAGATGAGTCAGTAAATAAGTACCTCGTTCAATTATTCGTCAATAAAGATAGGACTCCAAAAAAACGGCTCAAGCTCACCGAAAGACTGCAAAAAGCCATAGAACAATACGAGGAATATATCATAGATTATATTTAAGTAATTTTCTTTGGAAAACATAAAAAGATGCGCAATGACTTCTTGCTCTGCCAAATACTTAAAATCGAATTTGGCTTTTATACTCTAGTACTGTTATTGGCACTGATATTCTCATGGGAAGGTTTAATGCGAATTCCAACCTTGCGCTCAAAGTGTTATGCAAAAATAAAACCAAAGCAATGACTTCAGACTTTACAACAGCAACATTGCATGAATTCGAATTGATTTAGAAATTAGATATATTTTATTTTTCAACTGGTATCTCTACTACAGTCATAAAGCTTTTAATATTTAGTTCTATAAGTGTTTCCCCACAAGTCTTCAAAGTGTGCTTATGTATCGATGCATGTATATATTTTAAATAGCAAAATTTGTTAATATAATAGTTAACCGTAGAAATGCTAAAAAATACACAAATATTTCTCTTAATTTTAATTTATAATTTTATATAGTACTTCATTGAAGTGTGCCAAAGCGTTCTTTATATGTGCGCGAGCACGCATAAGCTTTGAAAAATGTGCATGAAAATTGATTGCAGGCTGCTATTAAAAAATCTACTAGTTGCAAGATTCTTGACTATACCAATATAGAAGTGCATAATGAGGGGGTTCGAAGAATAGTTTTGGAAATTTGTTCAACATTTTGTTACCTCAATTATGTGAAAACTTACAATTTGTGTTCAATTTAAGCGCGAATAGCTCATTATTTACTCCTGTTGCAAACTATTTTGGTTATTCACATCAATTTCATTACTTTTTGGTCGATTTTGTTTAAATTGTCATCCGTGAATATACTTTTTTGTGAGTCTGATTAATGGTTTTCACCAAAAATCTATTAAAATTCTTTTTAAAATTAAATTTTTCGACTAACACCAACCCCTGAAGCGATAGATGAGAATTGCAAGATCTCCAAAGAAAAACAAAATTGCATACATGTTTTCAAATTCTCACTAAAATAATACTTCCCAGTAACGATTGATAATTTAAAACTCTTCGAACCCTATAAATGCACTCGAAATATCAAAAAAAAAATTGTATATCCATATATCTGAGTATTAATGTAACAGTTAAAATGCCTTAGAAAAATTTGCTTAGAAAAATTCGTATGTAATTATTAACTAGTTAATACAAATTGACAGCAGTAGCTGCTGCACAAGAAAACCGTATGATAAGAAAGTTACATCCGTTTATTTTACTGTGAAGTTTCGTCAACTTTGATTTTACTTTTATTTTACTTCCAGTTTCCGTTGAGACTCTTTTGAGTTTCTTCTGAGTTCTTTGAGTTATTTGCCCAGACATTTATCAGTCTTTAAAGAATTAATTCGTTCTTTTTTCATTTAGTTATGTAAATGTGTATATGTATTCTGTTGTCTTCACCCACATTCGCGTCAAATTGCAGATACTTATATGTATGGGCTTGATAACTCAATCAATAGACAAGTTAAACGAAAGCAGCAAACAATAATCGAAGCAAAGAGTATATAGTCAAAGCCACAACAAGTACAAATGAATATAATTTTGCACACAGCTGTTTACAAATCTGTTTGTGTATGTACTTCTTGCATATTTTTACCCCATTTGAGTTTGACACATTTAACACTATCTAATCTTCCTTTAACAAATCACTCGAACGACATCAAATTGATGGGCAGCGGCTTGGGTACACTACGCTGCATTGCCACCTTACAAATGGAATTGGTCCATAGCTGTGTCGCTTGAGCGCTATCCGTGCGAAATTTGTAGATCGTGCCGATTGTGCGATGATACAATTCAAATGAGTTTTTATGTTTCGTATTGTCGACCACCTGCGCAAACCAACCTTCGAGTGGACACACTTTACATGGCTCGCGTTTGAAATCGCTACGCTCACTGCCTTTAAACGATTTGGGCGGAAAGTAGACAAGTGAATTGGCCCATATTTGTAGCCAGTAACGTTGCCATGAGGCGACGGCCGGCTTGCGTCCCTCCTTCTGCACAGTTTTACGTCGCACGCAACCCTGCACACAGCGGTCGAGATCGAGCGAGGGCGCATAGATCTGCTCTAAGTCGCTGTTATGGCAGAGTACGCCTTCGACACTATCATTCGAGGTGGCATCACCGCTACTAAGCATGTTACTGCTGTGCTCCAACACCGAATCGTCTAGCGGATGGCGTGCTTGTTGCTGCTGACTCAGTATGCTGTAGTCATGTAAGTGATGTTCGTCGCCGTAGCCCAGCATCATGGTAGAGGGATTGCCATAGTTGTTGCTGTCATTGTGAGAGTGTGTTATTTTGCCGAAAATGCTGAAAAGGAGGGGAGAGGGGAAAATATGATTAGCTGGAAGTGTAAAAATTTTAGTTATACAATATAGTGTTCTGAGAAACTATAAAAGTAAGTAAGTAACGCAGGGGAAAATGATATTTGCAATATTTTTAGAGAAGAATGTACAGCTTTGTTTGCATCACACGAGTATACAAAGATTCATGCAATGAGATATTCATATGTAATAACTATTTACGTATACGTATTTTAGCACAGAATGGAGGACAAATAGGTGAATACAAAAGGATATGGCAGATCTAAATTTTAGTATGATGCTTGTGCAACAGCGAAGTTCTTAAAGAAAAATCAGAAAGGTAGACCGAACTCTATAACGATTTTTTTTTGCAAATTTTGCAAAGAAAATCTAATGAAGGGCTTGCCATGAAAGAAATATCTGTACGATTTAAGTTTTCTGCACAGCACAGCATTATTACACCGTTATTATTTTACATTGTACTGAATTTTTAAAATAATTTTTTGATTTAATCATATATTCGAAATTTCAAAGTCCTTTTGAAAGAAATCCTGACGTCAAAGAGAAAAACTAAAAACGCAATTATACTATATTTGGCCTATAGTTTCGTTAGCATATTGATTGTTTAAATTCTTAAATTATCGTTTTTTAATCGCTTGCCCTGTTTGGGTAAAATCTAGTAATTACAAAAAAGGAATTACTAGAATTTGAGTCGGGTTTCGGTCGCATTGCAGGATTTTTTCTTGACGTGGTCTACTGTACAACGACATATTAAGGGTGGTTGCCAAGCTGACGAATTGACAAGCGCAGGTGCATTCACCCACACTTTTCCGGGAAAGGAAGGTATACCAACGGCCAGTTGGTTAGTGATCGCACCACTCTGTGGCCAATGAACACTGGAAAGTCCTTTCGTTCTGTGAAACTGCCAGGATTACCTTTTAAATCTCTTATGGGCCTCTGCCTAATTGGCTCACACGACACGCGACTAGGGGTGGACATAACCACATATAAAAGAAAATGTACCTTTTAGGACATTGCCCCAACCTTATTCATTTCTTTCAAGGCCTTGCATAGATCTCACAGGTGAAAATAAAAGATTTGGCAGAGATGATAGCAAAGTAGTTTGTTCTCGATTGACCTTTTTAAAATCGCAAGGGATTGGTAACTCCATAAGGTATCACAACGAATCTAAATTGGCATATCGCTGGCTTAAGGCAGTGTCACACGATCGGTACATTTGTACAGATTTATACATTTTTGAAATGGGGTTATTGGCACGAAATAAAAAAAATTGGGACGAGTTTTTTTTTGTCACACGATTGGTACAATATAGCGAGCTTCTATTGAAAAAATTTGAACAAATTATTTTTCGTGATTGGGATAAAGAAATATATTTGTGCATTCGTACGATTGGGATACGACTTGCATCAAATTTTGGGCAAATGCCCAATCGTATGACACTGCCTTTGGAGCGAAAAGTTGCTAATTCCCATTTACAAATTTTACAGGTTCTTTTACAGGAAGTTCTTTCTTGTAGCCAGTTTCCTTGAATATTTCGCAAGACTTTGAATGCAACATTTTGCGGGTTTAAACTCAGAATCAGAAGGATTCGATCGTTATTAAAAGAGTTCGTGTTATTTTGTCCTTATCGAATTTGTGGTGCTTCTTTTGGACTTCCTGTGTTTTCATAAAAATTGGAGTTAGGAGGAAGTCTATTCTCCAACCAATCCAACCTTACCTTGGATAAACTTAACAAACAAGTATAATTAAATATGATGAATATTACTTTCAACTTTGTCGTTAAAATGTTTGTCGTTTCAAAGCCAAGTGGAAATACGGCATTATGTGTCTCAAGACGTAGGGCAACATTTATGGACACAAAATTTAAAAACAAATATAGAATATTTTTATGTTATACATTTTCTAACAGGGGTGAAATATGTAAATAAGAATAGAGGGATACTAAAATTTGAAAAATTAAAAATATTTACATGAAAAGCAGGATATCAACAAACGGCAGGCATTGATTATGCAAAAAAAAAAAAACCTTGGCAAATAAGAAAAAATGGTATTGAATTTGGAACACGTACAACGGTATGTATGAATTTTCCACTCACCGACTGCATCTACAACGCTTATTGGAAATCGTGCCAATGCCAGGTGCGATCATCAAAATGGAACATTGACATTTGTGATAGAAGTTTCGTGGCAAGCTGGTGCTACGAAATCTGCCAACACACATGACATATATTTAATAAGGAAAATTGGCAATTAACAAAACAAAAAATTTAAAACAATATATAATTTTATTTTTGGCGGAGCGCACATTGGTTGTAGATTTTTTGCACATTTTATATCGCAGACGCACGCGACGGTATTCGTTCATATGTATTTATATACATCCAATTGCATGATATTGTGAGATAAATAGACGAATGCAGAGAGAGAAAGAAAGAAAGTAATAATAAGAATGATGGGTGTCGTTTTGCGTAGCGGGTGATAGAGATGGTTAGTGAGAAGGCAAGTAAATAAATACGAAAACGAAAAACACAAATTGTTAAATTACAAGTGTTGGAAAGACAAATTACATTACATTTTTTGCTTCTTAAATTAATACAGCAATTTTGAATAGCCAATTAATGTGAGAGTGAAACGCTTATGGGTCAGGTTCGTAGAATGCGATATCGATAAAACTTACTTTGTGCCCAGACTGCGACATTTACGATGGCCGGGTATGAATTTACTACCACTGCTATTGGCTATACGCATTGAGCCGATCGTTTTGGCAGGTGAGAGGTTCAAGCAAGCAAGCGCTGGTGTAACTGCATCCACATTGAAGGACTCTTTCGAGCTGCAAGAGGAGGAACTCGGACCGGACGGTGAGGCAGGCTCCAATTTTAAGGATTTTCTGCAATCATAGAGTAAATAAAGCACTTTAATAAGTAAAAATGAAAATGAAAATTGTGTAATATTTTTCTACTCACTTGTATTGATCCTCTTCGAAAATATTCTGCAATTCCTCAATGTAGCGTATCGAAGTCAAGTACTTTTGTGTGGCCTCAATTGGCAGTATATGCGTATAGTTCGATTGTTGATAGTTGGCAATGACACGCAATATATTATTCATTTTATTACGTCGCTGTTCGGGCTCCAGACCACCCTTATGCGGATGCGCCAAATCAATATAAATTAGATCAGTTAGAAAAAGACCCAAATAGGGTATGCATGGTAGGCGTAAACTTTCCAAGTAGGCACGTAAATTCTCCCAATTATTTTGATCACTAAAAATATCGCTTAATCGTTCAAATGCTTGTCTATCTTTTTTGGAGAGGCAAGCCCAAGTCTTTTTCAAACGGAAAATGCTGGCACTTTGCATGGCAGAAATGATGGCGAACAGCGAATGCAGATTGTTGAGTTCGTGCAGCTTCTTGGACACCTGCAAGGGAGATGAATAAGTATTTTTAAATATTTATTATAAAAAAAAACTAAAATAAAAAAGAAGAAAACGCAGTGCTGTCCTTAACTATGCCGAAGGCTTCATACCTTGCTTGAATATAGGAAAATCGAACTTTAATCTACAATTGAATTCTTATAAGCTGTTAAGGAGCTACATACGGTGGTCGAACAAAATATAGCCGCACCACACTTTGACAAGTTTTAACATAATATTTTTTCGTTATTTAATTTTGGATATTTTTAATAAAACTTTAGTTGATTCTTTAACAAAACGACTGTAAATCCAAGTTTAAAAAACAATATTACAAAAAAATCAACAAAATCCGTAAAAATTTCGAGCTTATCTAAATAGACTTCCTAGAAAGATTCTGACTATGCAGTTTTCTAGCCCATTGAATTCTAGTACAACAAGGTACAAGTTTCAAATGGTTAAAATTACCGTTGATTTTTTAGAATTTTTTTTGTCGAAGAAGTTACGTTTTTCTTCCATATAAAACCAAATTATGTTTATTCGTTATATGGAAGCAAAATGTGACAAGAAAAATCTTAAAAAAAATCAACGGTAGTTTTTAACCTTTTGAAACTTGTACTTTATTCTACTAGAATTCAATAGGCTGCAAAACTGGTTACTCTTGTGTCTAAGCCCGAGATTCATTTTCAGCTATCTGCTTGTGCGATCTATTATTTTAAAGTTGCATGTGACAAGGGCAGAACTAAATTCACTGGGGTAATGAAGAAGTGAATCTTAGTTATTGGAACCGTCTTGGCTTTCATGCGGCATCAAAACTTAAATTCGCTTTATGAGCTCCAGCCCCTCACCTTAATGAAATGTGTCAGTATTTCCGCACGCTGCTTTGGCTGCTCGCCACTCAAAATCTCCTGCACAGTCCAAAAGCTGGTATGATTGAAACGTTTCGTAAATGCAACTATATTCGGTGTAACAACATGTTTGTCCTTCTTCGTCCAAGCGCAACTAGTCAACTCGTCCGGTTGTATGGCGGCGAAGATGGGAAAATCCAAAAGTGTAATCTGATTGGCCAATTCATCAGCGGGCACACGTAAAGCATTCAAAATGACCGCATCTAAATTATTCATAGACGAACGTGCTGGCAAACTCTGACTCTTGCCGGGCGGTGGAGCGGAGCTAGAATGAGGGAAGAATAATATTGAAATGAATATCCAAGTAAAATTGTACGATGCTTCATTGAACAATCACAGCCCAAATATTTATTGTACTTACCCAACACAATAATAGCAACCGGGTGAGCCCGGCGATGAGGATAACGAATTCAAACAGCCAATGGAATTTTTGCGACGACTACTCTTCACATGCATTGTCTTGCTAGCAATTGCCTGCGTCAACTGTTCCGCATCGAATTGACAACTTTGTGTCGAACGTGTGCTATCCTTGCGTGGACGCATATAGGAAATGGTGGAAGCGCCATCATGACTGCGGTCACGCCCACACGAATACCGTTTCGAATTGCGTATATTGTTGGCGGAGTGTTGTTGGCCGCAATTGCTCATCGAATTAGTGTAGTTATTACGTGAATGCTCTTGTTGTTGTTGTTGTTGTTGTTGTTGTTGAAACTGTTGAGCATGAGATTGCTGCTGCTGCTGCTGTTGTGTAAGGTGTTGGTGATGATTGTTGGAAATGAGTGTTGGTGGCGCCATATATCCGTTGCTACCATTGGATTGAGTATCGCTGCGTGGTGAATCCTCACGCAAATTCTTATAGATGTACTCGTCACCCAGCTGGCAGGAGAAAATAAATAAATAAATTTAAATTACAATTGTATGGACATCATATATATGAATCTTAACAATTGCTACTTACTTCAACGTAACGCAAGCTATCCGATGATAATTCTCTGGAGATTTCCGAGTAACGCATCATGGCATGTGGGGGCAACGGAAATGCATGCGGGCTACAACGAGACGACGTCAGTCAGCCACAAAAGCACTGCAGCAATAATGTGCAGTATATGTACGTAGGAATACACACACACACACACCTTCAGGGACGGCTTTGCACGTTGCACTTTAGGAAAGGATAGTCTACTGCTGGCTGATGCAATACACAGGCGTGAAAAGTCACTGAGGCAAAAACGGGTCGCTGCAAGTAGAAAGAAAAAACAAAAATTAATAGTTGGCAGGGTGAAACACAAAGGATTTTTTTTTTGCATAAAATATGCTGCTTAAAGTTATAATTTACTTTTTGGTGTCAATACCCAGTGGCTCAACGCCGTTTTTGACTAATTTGAATTATCAAATATTAATGAAATTCCGCTGTTTGCATTCATTTATGTATTTTATTTTTTGCACTCTATTTAGTCCATTGTTGATATTTATGCGGCAAATTTGCATTTATCGCTTTTGGTATTTATTTTAATTTTTATGTTCGCGCTTTACTTAAAAGTTCATTACAGTTGCAAGGGGCAAGTGCGAATATTTAACGAGCGACCAACAAGCAAGCAAGCAACCAAGCAACTAACGTCACAACCAAATGCGATAATAAATTCTGAGTTGAAGAGCAGCGCAACAACGGAGCAACATAACAACAAACGCACCGCTTTCAACGGAAGCAGAAATAAAGTTTATTTTACAATTTAACAAAATCGAAAAGAGTACAATGTTCATGATTTTATGTGCATAAATATGTGAATGTATGTACATACATATATATTAAGTATGTATATAGCACAAAGCGCACATTTTCTTGCACATACATAAATATTCAAGTAAGCAAACAGTGGTTTTCGATGATAAGCTCAATTCATGCTTTTCCTCAAACTGATATTTATTATCATCGTATGGAGGCGTTTTTTGCATCGCACAAAGCTACATACAAAGTAAAGCTTTGTATTGATATTACAGCGGGTTTATCAGTAATACTATTAAGGAAATGAGGGTACTCAATGACTTAAAACTCGAAACAAATAATCAAACAAAAATATATATTTTTTGATAAGAACTGCGATTTGGTGGTTAAGTACTAGAATAGGAAACTTGAGGTGAATGAACTTGGAGCAAAAATATTGTCCAAGAGCGCTTAAAAACCCAAACCGAACTGAGAACGAAACTTTTGGGAGTGTTTTTACAAGAACGAAAAAGTGAGAACAAAGCTTTCGAGAAAGTTCTCAACGGGAATTATATAAGAACAAAACCCTGTGGAACGTTCACAAATAGAATAAAACGAAAACAATAGTTTCGGGAACTTTTATAAGAGATCAAGAGGTCGTTCTCTGTCACAAAGTTCCTGAATTGTTCTTCGAGCGAAAGTTCCTTCGAATTTTGTTGTCTAGCGGAACGTTGTCCAGACTTCAGAATAGTAAACAAGTAGTTTTTAACCAAAAATAAAACTGACTTTAATTTTCATATAAAAATTTAAGATTATCGTTAGTTTCTTCATGATCCCATTTTTGGATTTAAACCAAATCAGTGTGGGATCACGTGTGAGGTAACACCTTTCCTTTAAAAAAAAAAAAAAGAATTATAAAAATACATTAAAAAAATCCGACGAATTGACAACCTTCTCCGTTTTGTGAAGCCGGTTAAAAATTAAAAAAAAAAATCTAATCAGCTGTTCTAGCATTACTGCTCGTTGTATAGTTCGGCACTTTTTCTGTTTTATTTCAGGACCAGTTCGGGCGTAGTTCGAGACTTTTCGGAATCATTTCTGGACACAGATGTTTACTCACGCGTTTTTGGTGTCCAGAAACCGGGGACTGCCACAAACATTTTTTAATCACAGAAGAAATGGGAAATACACAAAAAGTATTAAATTCTACTTTTTTAATACTTTTGCAAAAATTCAAAGTGTCGTACTTCCTTGTCTTGACGGATTTACCAGATCCTTTGAATTATTACGCCCAGTCCTTTGGGCGTGCCATTCTACAAGTCGGTGAAGGGCTCCTACTTGCCCACGGGTAGAGCGCTATAATCACAGATATTAGAGTGCCAATATTGTATGTACCAGTGATAGGTATACTTACTTAAATACTTAAAGTCCTTATTGGATACTAAGTACTTGTATTCATAGTATTTAGAAATGTCTTAATACTAAAGTTAAAGTAATTCAAATATTTAGCAGGTGCTAAATACTAAGCACCAAGTATTTAAGAAATACATATGTACTTAAGTACTAAGGTACTGTAGATTTCTAAATACTTAACAGTTCAGAAAAAGAAACAATACATTAATAATTTTTTTTTTTTAAAGACTTATGGACAAAACAAAAAAAAATGCTTTGTTCTTTTCGGTATTTTTATTTATTTAAAAAAAATTCCGGATTTTTTTTAACTTTTTCGTAGTCCTTCGTGTTTTATTTTTCGGGATTATTTTAGAAACTTCAAAATTTTAGCGATTTTTTTTTTTTGAAGATTTTTCGTGTTTTACTCCTCGGGGTTATTTTAGGAGGTTTGGGGAATTTTTCGAGACTTCTTTATTTTTCAGGATTTTTCGTGGTACAATTTTCGGAATTTCCCCAGAATTTGCCGAACTTTTCGGGACTAGTTCAGGATAATTGGAGCAATTCCGGGACTTTTCGGAAATTCGTTGCAAACATATCAAATAACTACCCTATTGGAAAAAACAACTACTATATTTCTGTAGCAAACGTGCGTTGCCTTGTGCTCTTTTTTTCACAAGAAACTTTAGAAACCCGTAGTAGAAAGCGTAGCAAATTTCTTAAGAACTGCGTACTGCCCTAAGGTAATTTGACTTAAGAAAATTTCTTAGCCATTTCTTGTACGTTATTTTATATGAAGTTTTTGCTTTTCTTTTCTTTGGCCTTTATAATGACATACATACACGCATACATACATAGATAAAGTGAAATGAAGAAAAATGCAGAGATAGCGCTGGCTTGGACATGTCGTCTGTATGGATGATGATGCTCTGGTGAACAAAATCCTTCGAGTCGGCATCCATGGGTGGATAACAAGCACAAGGACACATAGCACAGAGGGAAACAGTTGCAATGCCCAATAAAAAAAAAAAAGATGAAAGGATAATCCAAATTAGTAATACATTATTTAATCATCTGTGGGCAGCTCAAGACGGAAAAAATTTTGCCCTGATAGAACGTTTAAAATTTAAGAAAAAACCGATATGTTCTTCGTCTATTTTATAGACCCAAAGTTTAAAATTTGTTTAAAATTCTGTAGTATTTTAATACACATGTAACTATACAATCGAATAATCTCAATCGCTATCAAACATTCAAAACATTCCCACACAATAGAAATACATACATACATACATATGTACTACATACATATATTTCAAATAATTAAACCGATAGTAAAATGTCAATATGTTATAGCCACTCCCGCGACACGTGCAACATAAAAAACACGCCTTTTTTAATAATAGTCAATTGTTATGTCCAGTATATCGTATATTTACATCTGAATAAACATTCAAATAAACATACATATACTTACACACGCGCCTTCATACCTGCTGAGCCTAGGGGCCTGAGTATGGCGCGCTGGACTTTACAGACCTACTAAATTTGAACACAATTTCCGGCACGCGAACGGCCAAAAGTACTAATATGGGAAAAACAATTTTGCGCGAGATATATACATACATAGATACATATAAAAAATATACTGCCAGTGAATAATGAAATATCAGCAAAGCCATTAAAAGTGGCCAAATGGACGCGCAACAGCGGCAAATGTAAACTTACGCCACAGCGATTGTTACACAAAATGCAAAAAGCAACCAAAAAAAAAAAACTAAAATTGTTTACCTTTATCATATGGAGGTTCCTTTTGTTAAAAGGAAGCAATGAAAATAATTTATTTATTTTATTTTGTTTTATGTATGTAGCTACAGAAGCGCCAACAACAAATGTCTAAAGCAGACTAGTTGACTACAAGCATTTGATACTTATTTACCAAGCAGTTGGTTGTATGTAGAGCCTGGATGACTGACTGGTAGGCTAGCTGACTGGCTAAGTGGCAAGTTGGTAAGTTGACTGAAGCGCAAAAAGCGCACAAAACCAGCCAAGCGAAGCGCGACAATAACTACAAACAATATGAACTTCAGAAGCACACAGAAATTCGTGGAAAAAAGTGGTGGCAATCAAAAAATGAGGAAATGCAACCTGACCAAAATGTTGTACCTGAGAATGATAGACTTGCTGCAGTGTGCAGAGTAGTGAATGACGTGCACAGCAAGCAAGCGAATGCAATAAGAAATTCGAAACTACTCGTAACTAAATAGAAACAAAAGTGAATAGAATTGGACAAGAAACAATTACAGCGTCACGACAATGGTGGCACGAGCGTCTGAACACTCTAGTGGAGGTGGCTGTGGCTGTGACGGTGGTGTTGGTATTGGTTTATAATGACGGCGTCATCTGCAATATGTACATACATTAACGTCATGGTCTGCTAAATAAAGTGGTTGCACGTTATGCCACAGGCGTCGCACAGTGGCGTAAGAGGGGAAATATGTAAGAAAAAATTTTTACGCCTTATTTCAGAATTTGGTTGAAGAACGCCCTATATCAGGTGACGATTCAAAAACGTCCTATCTCAGCACATTTTCAAAGTATTTTCAGCTGAGATAGGGCGTTTTTGAACTGATTTTTATAATCTTATTTTAGTTTGTTCTTTCTCGCTTTTCTTTTTATTTTTTACCTTAATTTTTTTTTAATTTTAGATGTAATTTAAAAAATATATATATTTCATTTAATTTTTATTATTTTAGATTTTATTCTTTTAAAAATAAAATTATTTTTCTAATGTCATTTAATTTTTAGAAGCTTAATTATTTTTTTTTAATTTAAGACTTCATTTTTATATTAATTTTCCTTTAATTTTTATTTTTATTATTTTAAAAGGAAAAATAAATATTTTAAATTTTTTTAAATTTTAGGTTATCCCCGTTAGGAAATCTTTCAGACTAAAAAATGTCAATATAGTTACTAGAATTTATGAAAGACTTTTGTCTTTCAAAAGTCTGTGGTGAGTTGAAAGACATGTGCCAGAATTGCCCTGTAAAACCCTTTTCCGGACCGGTTAATTTACAACTTGTTGTGTTAGCATTTTTATTATATTATTTCCAGCTGGGGTAAATTGCGGTTTTTCAAGAATTACATACTATTTCAGTTACTTTAGGTCTTTGATGAGGAATAATTTTGTTTATTTTATCTGAAGTATTATTTTTTGTATCTTTTTTTTTGAGCTTTTTTTCATTCAACGGTGCAGTTTTGACCATGATACAAAAAAGAAGATAGTTTCAATAAACAACTTTTGACGGATAATAAAATTTTTTGAAGTTTCTTAAATTGTGAGTATTATCAACGGCCTTACCACTTTGATAATATTAAAACAATAAATCGGAGTATTTTCCTTCCCATATTTAACCAATGTAATAATATTTCAAATCAAAAACTATTGTCAGTGCTTGGTACTTACTTTTACTTACATAGCTCGCACTATTTTTAGGTATTAAAAATTTATAAAATATAGACTATTAAAAAGACTTCATCGCAATTGTTCTTTTTATTTTATAATATAAACCACGCGCGTATTATGCTGTTAGTTTTT